GTTGGGTTTTTAATAGCTAGCAGCTGTGGCTCTTTTTTTGGAGAACTGTCCTTCTGCTATCTGAGCCTCCTTTGTCCTGAATGTTATAATGCCTAAGATGGCTCTTAACCACAAGTGATTCAGGAGTCTGAAATCTCCATCATCTTTGCTTCAAAGGTAAGACAGCTCTCAGGCTATTAGACACTGCAGAGTTCTCCCCTTGCCCCAATACCTGCCTACACTCCCAGGAATTAAGACTGAAGCTACCCTCTTAGGAACTTTGTCTTAGAGCATACCCTAGCTTGTCTTTCTTCCCTTCCCTGACCAGTTTCTCCCAATTCTTTATTAGTTTATCAAGCCCTTCCTTAAGTCATTTGGTCACACATGTTTTTACTCAGGGTCTGCTTCTCACAAGCTTAGACTAAATCAATAATTATGACCATATGTTTCTTTCTCTAGCTACTTTCAATTCTATAATTGATAATTGGATTTAATTAGGATGGGAATTTTTACACGCAAATACCATGAAGTAAGAAAAGGGCAAGTGTATTGAAGGTGCATCAAGGTAATGGCTATGTAATTTACCATTAAATGTAGGCTAGTTAAGGAAGGATTTGGTGGGGGTACGTGAGTGAAAAGAAGTAGGATCAATGGATTGAGGTACTAGCCAAAGTGAGTAGAAAAATAGATCAGAGAAATGCTTACAAAGTAGAATTATGCAGTGTTTCAAGAGATGTCCAATCTAATACTCAAAATCTGTCAGTCCCTTGAATTTTCCTCCTCCATTGATATTTTCCTTGACACCATGTCCGTTACATGTTGTTATTAGATCCTTCTTCTGTGTGGACTTTGAAATCATTGATCAAGTATTATTTATGAGAGTAATTGTGAATCAAGCTAAAATCCTCCAGAAGTGAAGGGGAGTGATCTGGGAGTTGGTAGCTGGCTACAATAAAATAAAGAAGGGTAGATGGTAAAAGCAAAAATAACTGAAACAAGGAACAGACCTCAATGGATCAGCAAACTTTCTTTATTAAGCAGCAGAATGTCACATTTTCAGAAGAGAAAATGGCAATTGATTACATTAGGGGTCTGATTTTGATAGGGTTTAAGTGAGATTTGGATCATAACAAGTGAGGTTTGAATCATTTGCAGAGTGCATCATTTGGGTAGTCAGAGGGAACAGTTGTGCAAGTTAAAAGCCTAAATCAGGAAAACAATTGCAAAAGTTCAAAACCCATTTGTTGCTGGGAAAGGATGAAAGTCCAGAGCCCAGAGCCCATCTTCCTCCTTTCTCCTTGAGGGGGGTTGTTTTCCATATTCTTCATTCCAGACTCTGAAAGAGGATAATGAATTGGGGTGTCAATACCAAGTCTGGCTGCTTCCTGCTGAGAAGGGGTGAAGTAGGGAGACCCGCCCCTTTTCAGAGTCCTAGTGCCCAATGTGGGAGCGGAATCTCATGGCATGAAACTGGAGAGAGCAAAGAGTCTGGAGTGATAATGAAGAAGGATACAGACTACATCTCCAGACCCAGGGGATGACTGATATGGAAAAAAAAATCTGTCCCTTGGGAAGTCTGCAGAATAAAAACAGGAAGGAAGACCACCATTGTGGTCTCAATGCCATGGCACTATGTTAAGAAATGGGATAGGGTAGTATTACTACACTCAGGTTCTTGTATCCAGAACTGGTTGAAATGAAAACTGGACCCAGAAGAATTTAAGCACAGGCAAGATTTTATTAGGGGCTTCTGCTCAAGACAGAAGGGAGACAGCACTGACCAACAGTGTTAAGCTGGCTCAAGCAAAGGACAAAGGTATATGTACAGCATTTATGGCATCTACATGGTAGACAGGAACCTGATCTCTTGATGTCATCACATGTAGTGTTGGGATTTTAGTTGCACCCATACTCCTCTTCATACATCATGTCTCCTTAGGTCTCCACCTGAGGGTTCTGTTTTATTATGCTAATGAGTTGAAAGTTTCCTGTGGGTTACTTTAGTGACTGATATCCACATGTGCATGCATTTGTCCTTTACCCTGGTTTGCCCCTTATCATCTGGGAAAGTCTGACAGCATTTTCAGAATTAAGCCAACTATTATACTGTTTCAGTGAACTGTTTCCAGTGATTTTGCTTTGGCTCCAGTTTCTTGACATTTCTGCTGACCACATAATCTCAGAAGGCTGAGCTAACTCCTCAGCCTCCCATCTCCTGGTGTGTTATCTCACTCCCATAGCCTTGAAGATGGATGCACTTTTAAATTCCTAATTTTCTGGTATGACTGTTAATCCCATAAGACAGAGAGCTAGCTTGGCTCTTATTTCCCCCAACCAGATGTTTATCTCTTAATCCTAAGGGGTCCTGTTTTTCATAGTGCTCCGTGACTATTTCTGTAGGTTGTTGGAGCCTGGGAGTAGCAGTCTAAAGCTAAGTGCTCTGGGTTTACTTTTTTGTTTTTATGATACCAATTTAAAAATATTTTGTTCTCCAACATGAATTGCACTTTCCTTTTATTTACCACAAGGATAAAATGCAACTGTAATTTTTTTCATGGTGTATATTCAGGTATTCAAAATGTCTAAGGAAATGTTACATAGTACCTTAAATATGATTTTTAAATGCCATCAAAATAACTATTTACAAATCAGTGTTCTTCAAATGTCAAGACTGTGTTCAAACTTCATTGTGATTTGGTTGGCTTAATTTGTATCTGCAATCATGGTTCCAAAAGAAGCACCTCTGGAAGAATAAGCAACCATTCCCAGGGAAATTGCTCATAGAGCACCTAGCATGGTGCCTGCTCTCTGGTCACTGAGACATGGTGGGGTTTGGGACCTTCTCCAGATCTTTCTGCTGATGTTAAATTCTTTCTACTCAGTAATCTGATTTTTGTCCAGCCATTTGATAATTCCATTGCACTTGTCAAGAAACTTCTGTTTGAATTCATCTTCTACTGGGGCCTATTAAATATCTAAGATCTGAGCAACTTCTTGGTGAATATTTTGACTCTTTGTTTCTCATATTCATACATTTTTTACTTTTAAGCTTATTGACCATATATACTTAATGTTGTCCATTCTCAAACACCATGTCAGTGATCTTTTTATCTTCATGTTTCCTGATCTTTTATCTTCAGCAAACATGTCTCAGATGCTGTTGGCAACTGTATCAAGTTACTGGAATCCATGGAAATTCAGAGGGTACAGGAGGATGCCTAAGAGTTCAAGTTTGCCAAGTTGGTTCTTATTCTTTATCATTGCTCAATCACATAAAACTGAACAAACCAATTGATTGCGGAGAGTAGATGGTGAAGGTCTGAGGCTGCTTGGTGTGAACAGCCGTATTGTATTTGGTCAGAATATCATGGTTCAACAGTGGTTTCCATGCCAATGGACAAGGAGTAACACAGAGAAACTGCAAATCCTGAATATCTTCAAATTTATTTCTGGACAAGGGATAAGATTTAATGGGACAAGATGGCCACCTAGGTAGCTGCAAACATAACTAACACTTATAGGGTTGGTTCTTTCTTTTTTCCAGCTCTTCTATTGAAGAAGTCCTACAGTAATTTCTGAGCTTTTGAATCTAGTTTGATATCTAGTCAAAAATCTTCTCCAACCCAGTAAKGTCTCTAGCTACACATCTAAATGTAATGATTGCATTTTTGTTAATAGAAATTGGACAAGCCAAAAGTGCTTATAGGTTGTAGATCAACATGTTTCTTTTAGCATAGATATCTTATCCATGTCTTAAACATTGGCTCAGTGATGATCATTCTTACATTGAGGCTACCTCTGATCCAGATTCTCTGAAGGCCTGATGGTTGCAGTGGTTAAACTTAGCCCATGCTATCTTGACAGTGTCAGTGATAATCCTCCAGTGCAAGTGAGCTTCTGCATTTTTTTTTTGCCTTTGTTAGAACCACAGTAAGTATTTCCTCAGAAGAAAAGTTTTCAGTTTTCTAATTGATGTTTTGGGGATAAAATTCATATAATATAAAGTTCACAGTTTTTAACAGTTTTGAAGTATATGATTCAGTATATTCACAATCACCATTAACTAATCTAGAACATTTTTGTGTCACCTCAGAAAGAAACCTCATGCCTCCTAATTCCCTCCTCCCCCATCTATTAGCAGCCACTAGTGTAATCATAGAATTAGATGGTGCCAAGATCATTACTCTTTAATATGAGTCTGGGAACAATGTTTCTGGCTTATAGGAAATGGAGCTGCTGCTGCATTCAGTCTGGGCTCACTGTTGTTCTTTCCTGATGGAGGGTGGAGAAATTTCACATTTTTTTCCTCATTTCTCATATTACCTAATGCCTCTGGGATTTATTCCTTTGCTTATTTGGTTCAAGGTCTCTCTTTTATACTATTAAATTCTTCAAAAGTTAGGTGATGCTTAACTGCTCATGTTATAAATGAAGGTGTAGATTGGATAGTTTTGTTAATTGGAGTGTATATCCTTAGTAAATGTGAGAATTACTGTACACCTGGAGAGGAAAGCCAGTGCACTGGTGTCCATTAGTTACCAGCTACCAGCGGCACTTTTGTACTTTCCTGGCCCAGATGCTGCTCACTCTGGGATCTCACTTATCTCTCCTTTTGTAGAGAGCTGAATTTAATTGCTAGCCTTGGTGACATATGGGGTTCTCTCTCCAAGGGCAAATAAAGGGTACTAACCCAGCTGTTCCAGCATCCTTTAGTGCTTTTCTGACTGATTACCTGAAATTTCTTCTCCCAGCCTTTATTTACTTAGATCTATACATTGCCATGGGTTACTTCTGACAGAACATGATTTGTAGTCAGGTGGTGAGGTCCACTCTTCTACTAGTGTGGGTCATAGATTCTCAGCTACTAGTATATTACATACTGTGAAATGCTGATAGCACTACTGTTGCCTTTCCAACATTCAGGTGGATTCCTTTTCATTCCCTGTCTCTTCTGACATTTCCACAGGATTTGAAGAAGGAAAACATATCCTGTAACTCACCTTTTCTTTGCTTTTATCTAGATCAGGGCAGTCTAATCCAACCTTTCATCTCAAGAAGGGCTTTCAAGCATATGTACTCAGGAAAAAGCCACCAGGTTCACTTCTTCCTAAAGCACATAAGGTATGGCACATAAATGTAATGGTATATTTTTTGGTGACAAGTAAATGCCTTTTATACACACAAAAATAATCTAAATTGCTTTTTAAAAGTTATCTTCTGGCTAATAAGTAATAGAAAAATGAATTTATTTCTAATTAAATTTTACTTGAATTTTGTCCCTTTTTGTTTTAGAAAAGAATTTGGTATTGAAATATAAGACTATCTCAGGCCATTCGTCTTGATAAACAATCATCTTGTGGGATTTGGTTCCTCCCTGTATACTTGGCAAGAAATATAATGAGCCCATGAATATTTTCAGTATTGCTCATTTTTTAGATGTTTTGTTTTTGTTATATACTTAAATATTATATCTAATAACACTATTTGCTGAATTATTTTAGTATACTTGCTACAAGGCTTTAATCTTTTGGTGATAAAAAGACTTGAGAGCTGGGGTTGTGGCTCAGTATTAGAGTGCACCTAGCATGCGGGTTTGATTCTTAGAACCACATATAAATAAATAAGTTAAATAAAGGTCCATCAACAACTAAAAACAAAAAAGAAGAGTTGAATAGAATTTTAATGTATTCTCTAAATATAAGACTTAGCAGTGAGAATTATAAAAGATTTTTGTTAAAAACTAAGTTTTTCTAATTACCCTGAGTTGATCATTTCAATGTATATGTGAATCGAGTCATCACATTGTATCTCAGAAATATGTACAAATATTATGTTCAATCATTTTTTTAAAAAACAACTAAGTTTTCCTTTTTGCATAAACACATATTGTCTATGGATATTTAGAAAATAAGCCAGGACATAAATCACAATACTGGAGAAGAGTGAAAACACTATGCATATTTAGGATGTTAATATGATCTTGTTTAATAGGTGCTTTCCAGGCTTAGCTCACTGGGTAAAGACCACTGTGAGCTGGGTAATGAAAAACTGCAGATTGTAACTTTCTTGGTCCCTTCACACTAGAAGACTATGGTTGTACACTAGAAGGGACATTTGCCTAAGCTCTCTTGGGAGATATGAAAGAATGAGAAAGCCAGTGAGCAGGGAACTGCTGAGAACAAAGGAATATTTTATGATATAACCTGTGAAAAACTATTGCCTTCACAATAACAGACCCAGGATTAGACCCTGTGCCCATCCTTTTATCCTAATTAAGTTACAATTTTTTAGAGCTGATTTAGTTTATAATTATAATGATTATATGAAGACTACTGTTAAGTAAATTATTACTGTTATCCTCTGTATTATTTGTTGACACTGTTTTATAATTGATTTCTTACCTTAAGGTTATCTTACAAGTAGTTATTAAATTTCTATGTTTCTAATTTTTAATAATCTATCATGCTATTTAGATTGATAGAGAATATAAAGTCCAGAAAGCCTTGTTTTCCGTTGGCTTCCCTGTTCCCAAAGTTTTACTGTACTGCAATGATACTTCTGTCATTGGAACAGAATTTTATGTGATGGAACATGTGCAGGTAAGTTAATAATCCTATTTCATTTGTTCTTATTTTTAATTTTGAAGTTAAATATGATTTATTAGATGAAATTATATTATGATATTTATAAATGACAGTTTATTCAACTGTTAATCAGTTAATCAGTTTGCTTTGTAAAGGCTTAAATTTTTGTTTTAATTTAAGCATATACAATGAGAGAGAGATGAAATAGACTAAGAACTAATTTAATAATTAGAGAATATTGACTTATTTTTAAGTCTTCCTCTAGATGTCAGAAAAGAGCTATCTATAAATGGCAAATTGTCCTGTTAGGTATGGGGGGATAGCACATTTCCCAAAGAAAAGATCAAACCATTAATAAAATAAATTCAAATTATTTTTTAGTTTGTTTCTGGTAAAATTCAAGTTAGGAGTAGTTTGACTTTTGTGTTCATCTTAGCACATTTTCGTATTTTCCCTCTGAATGTATACTCTTATATTGTTGCCAAAAGCTCGGTCCTTGTCCCTGATGCCAATTCAATAACAAGGATGTGATTTTGAGAAAAAAAAAAAAAAGAAAGTTTATTACTTTGCTAGCAAAGGAAAAATACAGGAGACCCCTGTTCCAGAAGCTGTGATTCTGCCCACCAGCAGGAACAGGGGTCTTTTAAGGAGGTGATTCAAAGCTACTTTCCCTGTGTTCTCTGTTGGAGTTGTAATTCACTTGTTAATAGTCATTTCTGAGATCTTCTGGTGCCACCCCCAACTCTGGATTACTTCATTCCTAAAATGGATGTGTACTCTAGGACAGATGAATCTTCCTGAAAGGGGGAAGAAAGGTAATACTGTTTCCCCTGAGATTAGGAAGTGGGCGAGAGGAAGAGAAAGAAACATGTCCATTTTAAAAATAAGTTGGAAGTGGACCACTATTACAATAGTAAATGTTTCACAAATGAATGTATTTCTGACATATTCTACAAAGTATTAATTTTGGTTTCAAGCATTTAAATTACCCATTATAATCACATCCATAGGGCCGAATCTTTCGTGACTTCACACTTCCCGGAGTTAGCCCAGCAGAACGCTCAGCCATATATGTGGCCATGATAGAGACACTGGCTCGACTGCATTCTTTGAATTTACAGACAATGCAATTGGAGGGATATGGTCCAGGTGCTGGGTACTGCAAAAGACAGGTAATGTGTCAGTATAAAAAACCTACTTTTTAAAGTTCCTCGAAATAAATATTGTTCATTTGTTAAAATAAAAAACAATCATTATATGGTTTTCTGAAACTTTGCTATTTGTTATTTTTACATAATTCTTTAGATTGACTTATTTTTAGGCTACTGTTTTCAGATTCTTCTTTTAACTTACCAATATATTTTCTGCCTAGTCCCTCCTCCCTCCCTCTCCCTCTCGGCCTCTCTCTCCCCACCCCCTACCCCCTTACTCTTTTTCTCTCTGGGGATTGTACCCAAGACTTTGCTCAGGCTACAAAAGCACTCTATCACTGAGCTAATAATTCCCAGCCCACTTTTTAACATTTTTTATTTGAATACAGGTCTTGCTTAGTTCCTCTGGCTGACCTTGAACTTGCAATCATTCTGTCTTGTCTCCTGAATCACTGGGATTATTGTGGGAATCAGGCAAGAAATGGCAAATGGCACTCTAAAAGAGTGGGAAGGCTCAAACTTTATTTTAAACCAGCAGGCCCAGAGGAGATCAAACTCCAAATTCTCAGCATACATTACCAGTTTGTCACAACATTTATAGGCTATGTAATGTCATAAATTTTCTAGTTCAAACAATACATAGTTGTGCACAAGATTTTAAGCTTTTTACAAAGCAGAGAATGATAAGGGAAAGAACTGGCTCCTTTTATGAGGCCTTGGGCCCAGTGCCTCCACTGGTACAGGGACTTTTACACTTCAAAGGAAAGTAGTTATATTCTAGCAGGGTGCTAATCAAGTTCCCAGAAGAGGAGCTGACTAGAAAGGGGGGAACTCTCCCTTTCCCAGGCACTAATTCTCAGGACAGTGTTCTTGGTTTTATTTTGCATCCAGGCTTGGGTTAGTTTACCCATTACAGGATCAAGTATGCACCCCCACACTGGGAAACAAGTTTCCCCTTTCTAAGTTGTGCCAGCAGGCATTTGTTAAGCTTTACTGTGTGTTTAATTCTTTCTGAGTATTGTGAAAAATAACAAGAGAAATAGGTTCTTCTAAAGAAACTTTTCATTTTTGAGAGAACTGTACATGAACCTGTACATCTCAAATACATGAAACTAGAAAATTATATAAAAGAGTGTATAATCTAGTAGTAAATTGTTTGGTGCTKATCACAAGAGCACTGCCATTCAGAGCACTGAGATTGCTTAGATGGGAAAAACTTTCTGGGAAAGATATCTTGCAGTAAGTTTTTTAAGAAAGACGAAATTTGGAGTGATAGGGGACATAGTGAGCCTTTCAATCAAGGGAAAGCAAGACCAGATATATAGCAGGCTGTTTCCCTTTGTAAACATGTCAATTTGGGTGCGAGAAAGCTGAAGAGAGGGAGAACTAGGTTTTGGAGAGTACTTAGTCTGTGTCAGGTCCTGTTCCAGATGAGCTATTGACCTTCTCTTTCTTATCTTTGTGACAACCCTAAGACATAGGTATTTTCACTCCCATTTTGCAGATGAGGAAACTAAGGCTTACACTGACAAAGTATACACAAGTAAGCGGCATGAACATAATTTAAACCTGGATTAGTAAAACTCTAAAGATAAAGATCTCTGTTCTATTGCATTAAATTGAGCAGAGATACACTTGGTGAAGGGAAAGCAAGGAACCACAGATGGGTAAGTAAGAGATAAAAGACGGAGACCAGGCAGAGATACACATTTATTTGTCAGAGCTGACAAATAAAGGTATCTTCTCTATAGGAGAGAGAGAGGCAAACAGGTTTGAGTTCTGGGGACTTTTATGGGGGAAGCTCAGGAATCAGAGGAGTTTGGTTAGTGTAAAGGAGTGGTGAGTCTTTCTCAGAAACGCCCTTGGGCGTGAAAGTAAAACTTTTTCCTTAAAATGGTGGCTTTCACTTAAGATGGCCTTCCAGATGCTAAGCAAGGACTACTTGGAAATGGAAAGATAAATGCAGATACATAATATAGTCCCACTTGTTGGAGGAGTCTGAAAAAGTGGATTTGTTTTTAATTCTAAGAATGATAGAAAGTATTTGCACTATTCGTACTTGAAGTATATTTAGAAGACTCTGGGAGTTTAAGAAAGGCAATTAAAATTGAAAGTCAAAATCTCCTTTTTTCTTCTAGCCTCCATATTTCCTTTTTCAGGGGCTACTTATTTCTTGTGCCCTTTTAAGAAATGGTCTATGCCTATTTATTTGTATGTGTGTTTGTGTACATTCTTTTTTTTCCACAAAGTTGTTCCTGAATAAAGACTATATCACACCTATGATGCGTAGGCCAGTTTTTTTTTTTGTTTGTTTGTTTGTTTTTGGTACTGAGGATTGAACTCAGGGGCACTCGACCAACAAGCCTTCCAGATACTAAGCAAGGACCTTATACTTGGAAATGGCAAGATAAATGCAGATACCTAACATAGTCCCACTTGTTGGAGAACTATGTTTTGTATTTTTTTTAGAGACAAGGTCTCACTGGGTCGAGTAGTGCCTCACTTTTGCTGAGGCTGGCTTTGAACTTGCAATCCTCCTGCCTCAGCCTCTCAAGCCGCTGTGATTACAGGCATGAGCCACCAAGCCCAGAAAGGCCAGGTTTTTTTTTTTTCTTTCTTTTTTTTTTGTCTTTGACAAAATGCTAGGAAAGTAAAATGAAGCAAGATAGGCGATACCTAAGTGTTTAAAATTTGAGGCTGATATGAATGTTTTAACTTATGTGATTTTTCATTTATAGGCATTATCTCAAGTTTTTCAGAGTAAAATAAAATTTGAGATAAATGAATTTGTTTTAATTTTAGAATGGCTCAACCTTCCATTCCACTTTCAGCTCTATCATTTTTCATATTTATATCTTTAGGTTTCAACCTGGACATCGCAGTATCAAGCTGCAGCTCATYAGGACATCCCTGCCATGAAACAGCTGTCTGAGTGGCTAATGAAAAACCTGCCAGATAATGACAATGAGAGCAATTTGATTCATGGAGATTTCAAGCTAGATAACATCATTTTCCACCCTAAGGAGGTATTGTAAGCCATATTTATAATAATTAAAGTAGGTCTCAATTGAAAAGCAAGTAGATGCCCCCTGGACATCCCCATGGAGCCCTGCTTTCCCCTCCTTCCCTACAACTCAGGATGTATACACACTTAAAACTTGAAAAAATTATTTCTAGCACAGGTAGAGATGCCTACCTTTAAGGCTGGTTCTAATCTTAAATGGTATCTAATTTACTACTTAAAAAGGATTTGGAATTTTTATATGTAGATCTCTGTTTCCAAAGACATTTTTCATTTATTATTTAAAATATTTGGCTCATCCATGTTCTTGCTCTTTCTTCTGGTTCATTACATTTCTTTGGATTCTTTTTTCCTATGCTATTAAGAATTTTTAATTTGTTTATTATAAGCTCAGAGAAGACAGAATTCCAGAAGCCTCTTTTGAGGCCTCAGAGAATTGTATGAGATTAATGTAACCTTGCCCTGTGTAAATGTACACAGTGTACTCTTTGTAAAGGGTACAAACAAATCAAAGATTTACAGTTCCCTGAATCCTGCTTCTTATTTTCTGGGTCCATTAATTTTCTCACAATGCTAAATTTTTTTTAGAACAGGAAAAGCTGCTGTAAACTTATATGCTACACTTTTGGGTTTTATATTCCTTCCTTACAAAAAGAGTACAGGGAAAAAATACATAAGTTGCATTGCATAGTTTTCATTATTCAAAGTATCCTTATAAGGATATGTGAGCATATTTACCAGCAGAACAGGAAATTTTTCATAGGAAAGTTAGTCCGGATATTAGAATTATGTACATATAATTATATACAGATGCTTCTCAATTTATAATGGGATTAGATTCTGATAAACTAATTGTAATTTGAAAATATCAAAAATTGAATATGTGTTTAACATGCCTAACCTACTGAATGTCATGACCTACCTACATAGTATGCTCGGAAGTATTGGTTGTTTACCTTTATGATGGCATGGCTGATGGAGAGCTGTGGTTCACTGCCACTGTCTAGAACCATAAAAGGGTACTATCCTTCACATTGCTAGCCCAGGAAAAGATCGAAATTCATATGGTCATTGCACCATTTCATAAAGACTGAAAATTCTAAGTCTAACAATCATAAGTAGGGGACTGCTTCAAGTGTGTGTGCATAAACTTTTGTTTAATAGCATTGATGAATTCCAGATTCTAAGCTATCTATATTAAGATTAGGAAAATTAAATAGTGCCAATTTATAACCTGGAAAATTACAAAATCTTACTCGTTAAAACATCAGGATCTGCCTTGTCTTGGTCAATATTACTTGATTCATTAATATCTTGGAGCTTATCTTTGACTACTCTTAATAGAGCCCTTAATATGTTATGTAACTATAGTTGTTTTCTATTCTGTACTTAAGAAAGGAAAAATACAAACCTAGGTCTCCCAAAAGATTATATGTTCTTTACTAAGATATTTAAAGATTAATTTTAATATGCTGAACATAATGGTAAACCATTATAAATATCCAATTGTTTTTCCCTTTTATATTTAATCTCACATTTTAAATCCATCTTTTATGGGATTAAAGTAGCTGAACAGGTATCATCTGTTTTCAGATAAGCAAGGTATCCAATTGCTGGGAGAGTCATTTCTTCTTAAAAGGAAACAACCAATAAAGACATAGATTTTAGTTATTTAGCTGCAATTCTAATTTGTTAATATATATATATCATCACCTTTTAATTTTTTAGTAGTTAGGAAAATATCTTCTACTTTATACTCAGCAATCTCAGAATTACTAGTTAAGTCAAACTTAAACAGCTTCTGCCTCCAATAACTATTGTAGCTAACTCTTCATGGATGTAATCCATGAAACCAAGTCAATTAGCATTTATTCATTACTAACTGTGTGCTCTGAAACATGGGATGGAAAGGAAATGTAGCTCCTAATGAGCTCAAAATAGAGATGTAGAGAAAAGATACCCAGGAATTAGCAAAAGAACAATATATACCTATGTGCCTACACATCACACAAGACAAACTATGAGAATAATTGAAGAAGAAAAGATACTCACTATGGACTAACACTAAGAGCTTTAAAAATTTAAAATGTCATTTCAGTTAATAGTTTATCTTTCTCCTTCTTTTTAAAATTTTCACAGTAGAGAATTAGACTTTTTTCCCCCATAAGATCACAAATTGCAAAATCATCCTCTGGATTACATGACAGATATGGATATGCATGTGCTCCCCTATATATATATATACAGAAATATGATAGAAAGCTTTTTTTTCTATTCAGGTTAAGGATTATGTCTTTATTTTTTTCTTATCTTTGTCTCTGGAATCTACATAATAGATGAAGAGAGAGTGAGTCAGAGAGAAAGAGAGAAAGAATATGAATATACCTATAGGTCTTTTTATATTTATAGAGCAGGTGCTCACATGATTCTGAATGAATCTATGTTGAAAGAATTGGTTTTTGCTGAGAGCCACAAACAGGTCAAGATGGCTCCTAGCAGTATGCTAGGAGGAGTGGTTTGAGAAGTAATGCCAGTGAGCCATTAAGATGATGTTAATTAAGTTAAGCTGTGTATAATTATTAAGATGAGGTAATGCCAGCGAGCCATTAAGATGATAGAGATTCCTTATTGGCTAATTGCTATAGCTACATGATAACTGAGTTAAGCTGTGTATAATTGTTAAGATGATGAGGATTGCTGTATCTGGATGATGTTAATTGAAACAAGCTGTGTATAATCAGTTAAGGGTATATATACCTCTACTCTTCTACAATAAAGCGGCTCCCACTGTATCAACCTTCACAAGTTGCTTGTCACTCCCCCCACCCCCGGCTGTTTTGCCCAGCCAGCTGGGCTGTGGCAGGTTTTGCTTGTAGTGAAATTGTACAGAGATAATGAAACTTATTACATACTTGCCACAGTTTGGCTGGGCACCAAATAACCAAGCCGCCACAAAGCCTTGTAGGTTCAAACAGCAACTCTTTATTCCCGAACTCTCACTGGCACTCTACACACACTTCCCGGGAACACACTCCCTCCACCAGGCTCGCCTGACAATTCTCACTAAACCCCCACTGAGAACTCAATGGGAACTCCAAAGTATCAGGCGCCCTAATCCCGGAGCCGCCCTATTCCCAGAGCAGGGTCACCTTTCAACCATTCCCTCTAGCAAAATGCCAGGCATCATTCTGACTAAACTGTGGCTCTCAACATCTCCCGCTCTCTGTTTAAACAACAAGCATGTGGGTTAGGGACTGTGCCTGTCTTACGTTGTCCAATACTACATATGGTCCTTACCTGTCATCGGATGAGCTGACCTCAAGGCGTCAGCCTCCTGTCTTAGGTTGGTACCATTGTAATTGGATCTTACCCATCATTGGCTACTGGTCCAGTGTACAGCCATACTTGTGGATAGGCATTTGCACCATTGGGGGGGTGAGGTTCTTTGCCTCA